TTCCTCAGGTTCTAATTGAAAAGATTCAAAGTTGTCGTCGAGAAAAATATATTATTCTCAAGGGTCGATGGAGGATCTTTTCCTTTTCCTTCGATCGAAAGGTGAAATTTTTCTCAGTTAAACAGTTCAAAGTTGTCGTCGAGAAAAATATATTATTCTCAAGAAAGAAGAAGGATCGATCGAGAAAACTTGTCGATATTGGTCGATATCTCGTTCACCATCCTTTCCTTTTCCTTCGATTAGTTGGATCTCCGAACCTTTCTTAGTTTCGAGTTGAACGGATTCAAAATTGTCACTGAGAAAGACACATTATCCTCAAGGATCGAAAAAGGATCGATCGAGAAAATTTCTAAACTCGTCGATATCTCGTTCACCATGTTTTCCTTTTCCTTCGATTAGTTGGATCTCCGAACCTTTCTTAGTTTCGAGTTGAACGGATTCAAAATTGTCACTGAGAAAGACACATTATCCTCAAGGATCGAAGAAGGATCGATCGAGAAAATTTCTAAACTCGTCGATATTGGTCGATCAACGCGATTATCATCGTTTCGAAATGCGAATCGAGATACGAAATGATTGGGGGAAAAAAGAGAGAGAAGAAAAGAGAGGGTAGTCGATAGCGAACCGAAGTAGAAAGTTTCGATCGGAAGGATCGAGAGGTGGATGAAGTCGGCGGTGCCCACGCCGCGTATAACCACGGATTGCCGGGGTTCTTTATGGGCAATCTATGGTGATGGAGATGATAGGCAAGCAGATATACGTAAACCTGATTCCGGAGGATCTTCCGCGACCCTACTGGAAGCGAGTACGCGGCTGGAGAAGCGTCGGGAGAACCGCCTCGATTCCCCAATAGTTTAACTTACGGCCGGATTTACTGGCGGAGATAGGAGAACCCTCGCGTATTGGCTGATAGACCCGCGACACCTACGCTCTCACGGATCCTCAGCGATCCTCAAACTTGCCCGGATTTTTCGCCCACTCAAAAAAAAAAGTCGCGCCACTTTTCCTCCTCCGTTTCCAAAATTCCTCCCCTCCCCCATCTCCACTCCTGTTAATTTCTACTTACTCACGGTTTCTCGATTCACGGTTATGGAAGAAATGAGACGCTTCGCGATTTTTCAACAACTGCGCATCGATTAAAATCCAATCGAATCCATAACGTCCATGATCGGTTTGATCCTGGCCCCCACCTCGGTCGCAATTCGTGCAACTCGCGTGAACGGAAGAAAGGAGGGAAGAAAGGAGGGAGGGAGGGTGTTGGATGCAGC